TTGTAGGTGGGATAGAGTAGCTCACTGTTATCACACATGTGCCGTTTTCACGGCTCGAAACTACGCCTCAATGGCGCTAGGGCCTTACACAGCGATCGGATGACGACTTATGCGATTTATGGACGAGATACCTCGCGCACACCCCGTGAACGCAGCGTGGATTACGTTGCAGCTGGTCTGAATACGCGCGGGTTAGTGGAGCCATGGAGCAAGCAAGTTCAGACAACTCGTCCGGACGCGCCCCTCCTCAATTCAAAGGAGAAGAGAGGGAACATTTGTTAATGGCTTCATCGGCGGTTTGCTTTGATTCTTTTTTCTTTTCCAGTCAGTTCGGCATCCACGATTTCATCATCGGCTGGTGATACCCAACCAATTTGATCTGGGGCTGTTGCATGGAGAAGCGAAAGTCGTCATTATAGTAATCTCCTATATATGGTCGTAGTCCAATGACTAGTTGATTCTATCTGTGGAATATGCTGAATACCATTTATGAGAAGTAGATACAGCGCTTGTGTGAGGTGGTTTCTGATTGTTCCCTGCAAACTACAGGCCACTACACTGGAATAAGCCATCACCTATTGTTCCGTAAACAGGACAGCATTCGGTCATTGAAAATCCTTCGAGCGAATTTTCTGACTTACCGTGGTTCCAGGTGGAATGTTCCTGGCTTTTCCAACCATGTCCGTGCTGTACTTGCAGAACATTCTGGCATGATGCCTCTTCTGTACAACAACGTAGGTTATAGGTGGACGATAGTCGGGGGAGAGTATCATGCAAGCCGATCGAATTCCCTGAACTCATTCAAACTTCAAACTGTAACAATAGGTATGTATGGTATTTTCTCGTAATATGGTACTCAGTATGTCCAGTAAAATTCCGAAAGCTTCCAGAAGAGACTGCTCAAGCCATCATTACTGACTTGTATCTCTTCGCGCAATACTTCTGCGAATTGACCTTCCGACACTCCATCGCGGTAAACGATGATTCGAGTTGGCTTCTGATTAGTGTTCCTGCAATTAACGCGTGCAGATATACTCTATTTCGGAAGACGAGAAGAGCATCGAGTGCAGACCACACACCACAAGTGACGACGGCCAAGAAAAAAGCCACTTTTTTCGGCCGTCGTCACTTGTGGTGTGTGGTCTGCACTCGACGCTCTTCTCGTCTTCCGAAATGTAGAGGGTTTGTTTTTGGGATATCCACTGGGCTGATGTCACATTTCTTATAGGTCTGGACGCTACCGCAACATGTGGGGGCATTTTCAGAACTAAGTCTAGGAGGGAACAAGAACTCCGGAGTTAATTAATGTAGCTCATGCACCCTTGAGTCCCTCCTCCACTGCCTAAGGCTGAGCCTGATTTTCAACAAGGAGATGTTTACGCAGTTTCAAGTACAGTGCCATCACAATGCCCCCGTATCTTGCGATAGCGCCTGTTTTTAATAAAAACTTGTGGGTACCTGTAAAACGACACGAGTCTCTCCCGAATGGCGTCAAGTAGATAGACGACCGATTCGCGACACTTTCGCTGCACCTTGACGTTGGCGCCATAGGACTGGGGCAGCAAGTCTATGTTAGCAACGATCTAAAAAGAGTTGTTTTTTCGGGTCTGCGGTACCAGTCAACGGTAGTATAGATTCCGGAAGTCCCCAACTTCTTTCTGTACAACTGAATTCTCCAGAACTAGTCATGGCTCTTCTACGATATGATGGATTTTGCCGTCCTGTTGATCTCATTGCTTTCACATGGATTCCCCGCAGCTTACTTTGTTTTCCAATCCCTAGCCAGAGTGAGCCAACTTTCGAAGAATTTTAGGTCAACAAGACCCTTTG